TAGTTATTTTCATAAAATAGTATCTTGGTTCATAAAAAATCATAACTAACTCATATTATTACTCTGATTATCTTTAAAGAAACATTCATTTCAAAATGATAAAGTCACTCACAAATCCCTATTTAGAACACTAAGTAGGTATTACTAACAATCAATCATCTTATTATATCTTTGTTTTCATAAAATATAAAAACGAATAACACAAACAATGACTAGGTCCATATTCGAGTCTTACAAAGACAAGAGGCTATAATACCACTAAATGTAACACTCAAAATGTGTTTAAGATTATTTTTTATTTATGTAAATTCAAAATTGATTAATTAATATAAATAAATATTTCTTATTTTATTTATTAAGATTCATAATCAAATTTAAATAAACTAAGATGAGAACTTGATTAATTAAAATTTGTTTCTTACAATATTTAAATTAAATAAAATTAAAAAATAAACTATCTAAAAAAAATTAAATATTCAACTAATTTAATAAAACTTGAATAGTTTACATTTATAAAAATTTAAAGTTATTCCAAATGAATTAAAATTGAACAATAAGAATTGTTACACTCATAAAAATTTAAAGTTATTCCAAATGAATTAAAATTAAGCAATAAGAATTGTTATATTCACATGGCTATAAAATGTTCAATATATATATTAATGTCATTCAAAATAATTTAAATAAGGAATATGTATACGAACATAATTTCATGAGATTGTAAAAACAGAACCTAACTATTTTGTTTATAAGAATTGACAAAATAAAATCCTATATCAAATGATGTTTTATGAGCTACTTTTTCTTTCCATTCGAGTTATATTAGTTAAAGATTAATCTTTAGTAAAAAAGATACAAAAATATATAATTTGATCTATGTATGCTACTAACATAGGTTTGTCTAAAATGATAAACTTATAAAAGCATATATTTTCTCATTCCATAAAAATCTCATTAAGATCATTAGAGTAATTATTTTGGTTAATTTAATGGTTGTTTATTGAGTTGCCATATTATTCTTTTGAAAATATAGGTGCAAGAATGAGTCTTCTCCTCACCACTAATTCCTTAACCAGACAAACTTTTTAATAACACAAATAATAATTTAAATTATTTTCCAATAATAAATTAAATAATAATATTTATGTCTTATTTTAAATTAAGTTTCTAGCATATTCAATTTATGATAATCAAGTAAAAATAATTAAATGAAAATAAGTAACTAAAGAATTAAAATTTCAATTATATAATATTATTCTCAAACTTAACATAATATCTTCAAATACTCATAATTCTATTTTTATCATATTTCATGCACTTCACGTAATTACATTTTCACACATATATAAATATAAATAAAATTTTAATATCAAATTTTCACAAACATTATGATCACAATTTTCTCAACACTCTTGATATCATTGGTCCAAATCATTGTCAACATGTTATTAGTGAGCCATGATGATCTTATGCATGTGTCCATAGTTGTTAAGTGACCTTCACATCCCAATTACAACGTATGCTGATGATGACCCCCTTCCAAAAAAAAGTATACAATCAAGTTGAAATGAATTGTGAGGCCATGTGAATTAATTTTTTTTTCCAATTAATTATGTACATCAAACCCGCCCCCAGTTTGATGGGGAAAATTCAAGTTGACCAGGTCCGGGCCCGGGGCGGGTTTTCCCGTTTTAAAAGTCGGGGCGGGATCGGGGATGGGTAATACAATCCCCACCCCGACCCCGTTCCCGCCCCAATTTTATATTTAAATTTAAATTTTAAAATATTAATATTTTAAAAGTATTTCTTTTTCTTTTTCTATTACATACAATGTCATTTTTTTATATTTCACCAATTTTTATTTTTCTTCTACTCACTTTTTAATTTTTTTTGTCTTTTTTAATCTTTTATATCAATTAATTTATTACATTATTCTCTTTTACCTTTCAATTTTTCATATTTCCTTAATCTCTCCCATCAATTTTTTTTTCAATCTTTTCAACCAATTTGATGAACACAAAGTTAATTTTTTTTTATTTTTTATCCTTTTCTAAATATTTTACATAAATCATAGTAGTAACTAATATTATTTTATTTATAACTTATATTTATTATGTTTTATTATGTCATATTTTTTTATCTTATTATTCTTATTTATCATATATCAAATTTTATCTTAATAAAATAATTGTATTTTAAAGGATTAAAGGAAATGATCATTTAAACTTTTATTACTTCGAACTAATTGAATAAGAATTAACTTATTAAATATTTTCTTATAAACTATATATTTCATATTTTTAAATGACAACTTAAAAATAAATTAAATTATATATATAATCAAATGTTTGAATACAGTATAATAATAATAATGTTATAAGTATCTAAATATTTCAATATAGTGTTATAATAATAATAATATTATAAATAAAAAATGATTAAATATTTTTTTTACATATATATATATTAATATAAATATAGTAAATTAAAATGTATATTTAATTAATAATAATAATTATAAATTATAAATATTTAGTTATATATAAAAAATAGATAATAAAATTAATTTATTATAAATATAATTATCTTTTTAAAAATAATATAGATCAAGGATGGAGCGAGGAGCGGGAACCCGAAACTCAACGAGGACGGGAATAATTAAAAAAGTTGGGCGCGGGGATCGGGGAGGCAAAACTCGCCTCATTGCCATGTCTATACCACCCTCCATTCCTCTAGGTTTCTAGAACCTTCTTTGGACCCTATACATTAATATATATATATATATATATATATATATATATATATATATATATATATATATAATTATTTACATAAGTGTATATATATAATTATTTACATAAGGATGACACTAATGTTACAAATTTAATATATATGCTAGCACACAATCTTCTAATCAAACATTTTCTCATTTCAGTGTTATCTCACTTCCAATCTCAATCTCAATCATATCATAATATTACACTTACAGTCACTTTTATATCATTATTATCAAAATCTTAATCATATCCATATTATGTCATATAACAATTTCAATCATATTTATAACACCAAACAAAGTCAATATCTACACTTTATAAATCATCATATCATAACTTAACAATCATGAATGACATTAATTTTATAAACACATTATTTGTTAGTCTCAAATTTTCAAAAATTATAAAGCCAACCATGAATGTCACAAAATAAACAATAAATTATTTGATATAATGTAACATCCACATTAAACACAATTATATCATAAGTGAGAGTGAGAAATGGATACAAAAGTTAATTTTCCTTTGTAATTAGATGCAACCATGAGATTGAGAGGTAGAAGGGTAAACTAATTGCCTCACAAATTCAACATTTGTTTTATTAAAAGATAAATTAGAAGTTACATGAATAGATAACAAAAGTTCACCTTCACTCATTTTCTTTTTCCTTGTGATGTTATTTGCAAATATAGATAAATTAGACTTAGAAAGATAAGGCTATTTTTTTCAATCAATTAACAAATCTTAAAATAGACCATTAAGATTAATTATTAGAAAAATTTTTGATTAATATATTCTATTTACTAAATATTGTATTTAATATTATAAAATATTTAATATATTATATTTTATTAATATATTAAATATTATAAACTATTTAATATATTATATTTTATTAACATATTAATTATTATATTAATATATCAAATATTATATTAATATATTATATTTAATACTATAGAAATATTTATTTCACTTATTAAATATTATTATTCAAAATTGACTTTAACTTAAAATTTGAAGATGGCTTTAATTTAGAAATTTTTCTTTACATTTCCTAATAATGGTAATAATAAACGTTAATGATTAAATTTTCAACGTTTATCTTTTTGATGATTAATTAATTATTAGTATTATTATTATTATTATTTATTGTTGTTTAACTTTTTATTTATTATTTATTGTTGTCTAACTTTTTATTTATTTTATATATTTAGTGTATATTTACAAAGATAAGAATCTTTATATATTAAGATAAGTAAATTAATATTAATTATTTTTTTTAATATCATGTTTTTATTTTTATAATTGTTACTTATCAACTTTTTTTGTTATTTTTTTATGATTACTAATGCACTAATTTATTGTATATATATATATATATATATATATATATATATATATATATATATATATATATATATATTTGGACGTAATCTTAATTTAAAAAAAAATTTATTACTCCACACATATCTTCCATTAGCAAAACAAAATTCTCATTTCGAACTATTTCAAATTTCTGTCTTTCCATCCTTATCTATATATTTGATATTTTTAACCACTTCTATATTTTAATACTTCATATTTATCTTTGAATTAAATTTAAATATATATTTTAAAAATTGTTCACAATTTAATTTTTATATTAAAAATATTTATTCATTTAGAAATTGTATATTTAAAATATATTATTTATTATAAATTTTAATTTTATTATAATAAATATTTATTTGTTTTATAAAATGTACGCATTAAACTATAAAATTTAATTATATATTTTTTTATCTCATAGAAAATATATGTTTCTTTTTAATGTTTTATTTGATATTTAACAACAAAATATTTTTTCTTTATTGTTTTATATATTATTTTTTTCTTTATTGTTTTATATATTACTTTTTAAGCATTAGGGACATAATAATAAATAATACATGGGTAGCGTAATCAAAATCAGTTGTTTTTTTTCACATAAAAACATTTAGTTGGTGTATCGAATTTCCTACACACTTTTATCGCCACTTGCACTCTCACCCAAAAACACGTGACATAAACGTATATAAATACAACGCACTTTCTCTTGATTTTCACTCTTTTTCTTACTTCAAAGCAAAACGCAGTGCTCGATCATGGTGGTCAGGATTCTAAAATCCTAAAACCCTAACCCTAAGAAAAACGAAAAAAATTTCCCAATCTTCGCAAAACACGATCGGTATCCGCGACGCGATGAACGTGGACCACGATCAGCCTTCCGCCTCGGCAGCGAAGGCCCAGGCGCTGCAGACCCTGACGGCGGGTCCTCTCTCCTCGTCGGTGGCGAAGCTCGCCGCCTCCTCGCGGTGCCTCCCTTGCGACAAGGACTTCCACTTCTACCACAACTTCGAGGAGTTCAAGGTCCCCGTCGAGGAAATCGCGCGCGAGTCGCGGTCGATGCTCGAGGCCATCGGCGCAGCGGCGCACGCAGCCTTCCCCAGCGACGTCGACGACACCTACGACTGGCTTGTGAACGTGAACGACAACGTTCTTGAGCAGTTCGATGCATCCGCGGACGAGTTCCGCAGGGTCCGGGAGGAAGAGGAAGAGACTGGGCATTCAGTGAAGCACCCGATGGAGGAGGATGGGTTTCAGCTGGTTTCTGGGAGAAAGAAGAAAGGGGGCAGAGGGAATGTGACTACGGGGATGGGTTCTGAGGCGAGTCCGGCGACACTGGGAGTTACTGTGGCCACAAAGGATAAGAAGACAATGGGGCCGAAGCTCAAGGTTCCTTTTCATATTCCGACAATAAGGAGACCGCAAGATGAGTATAGTATAGTGGTTAATAATGCGAACATGCCATTTGAGCATGTGTGGTTGCAGACTAGTGAGGATGGGTCAAGGTTTATTCATCCACTGGTTAGTTTCGACTATGCTTTGCTTATATAGTTTGATATTATGGTTAATATCTCCTATTTTATAAGACGTGGTTGTTATGATGGTTAGATTTTTATAATGCGCCAGTAATTAGAATGAGCCTAATCTTTTTTTATTTTATTTTACCATTTGTTTTCTGCTCTTTAACAAATTTACACTAATTTATTTTTTTCAGTCGTCCCTGACTTCTGTCTTTGTATAATATGATTGTATGGTTGACACACATAAATGTTTTCCATGAAGGGTAATATGTGATTTCGGTTGGAGTATATATCAAGTTCACTAGGCAAGTAGTAATTTGGCTAAAGTTGTTCTGTGATGTTGTTATTGATGCATATTGTCAATTTAATGTAATATTTGGTCCTCAACGCCCTGAAACAAGATTGAATCATAATGTTAGAAAGTATCTGTCTGTGAATTGTTATGTGTAGTTGCACAGTCTCTTCAGGCAAGAATAGATAACAACGCCAGTTGCATGGGGTTATTTTTTAGTATTCTCTAGATCTATCTTGCTGACTATTTATATGTTGGTACGGTTTACTTGAAAGCAATAGATTGTGTCTAGAGATATTTTCTGTGTCATGTTGATACCCTTTCATTCTTGTAATATTGCATGAACCAGGGATGTAGGTTCAATGTGCCTTGTTCTTTTGCTAGATGAAGGAATAAATCCTTTGAAAGGGATAAATACATTTTTTTGCATTGAGATCTTTTTAGAAACAAAATTTGGTAGTCTGATTGCATTCTATATTTAGATCCCACTTTTCTAGCATTTAAATCTCCATACAGCAACCATTGGTAGTTGTATTTTGTTTTGCATTAGCAATCTCTAACCCTGTGTTCGTGTGTAGGCAGACTTATGGAAATTGTTCATAATGTTGATTATCTTTTGTTCTGTGTTGAGATGTTTTTTTGTCATCTTCTGTATCATTTCATGTTAATCTATCATTAATTTATTATTCCAGGAAATGCTCTCTGTTTCGAATTTTGTTGATAGAAATCCTGGGGATGTTGTGCCAGTGAAGCCTCCCTCAATAGATAACACCCCTTTCAAGCTTGTGGAGGAAGTCAAAGATTTAAAGGAGTTGGTTGCTAAGCTGCGTTCTGTTAATGAATTTGCGGTAAACGTGATCATCATTCATAAAGTTTTACTTACAAATTATCTAATGACCAATTACATAGTTTGATTATTGTAGCTGATGGGTGCAATTAATGACACATGATAAGTAAAAATTTCCTTGAAAAATTTAAATATTTATCTTAAGTAATATGCAAATTCTATTACATTTTCTCTAATACTCTTTCCAACTTCAGATAGAAATACTAAAACTACTTCATTTTATAGATGATTATTTTTTGTAAGAAAAATATATATTCATCATATATTTTTTAAACATATCTTTTAAGACTCTTAGAGTTGGGGAACCCAGATAGACTAGAGATATGACATGTTATAACATATAAGTGAGGTGCGAGGTGCTAACTTCACCTTTTGTACCAACTTTTGTAGGGTTGAGTTAGGCCGATATCCAATTTGTAATATGGTATCAAAGTATATTCTTGCTATATATATTAAGACCTTTGTACCAACAACTATCAGAACACCCACATTTTCGTTGCAAGGGGTGTATTGGAAATGACCCATGTTTTGATGTTAGGCCTAATGTGAATCACCCATATTTTTGATGTGCGGGGGTGTACTGAAAGTCTCCTAAATATCTAATTCCACACTTGATATTTCCAATTCTCGGTGTGGTGTGTTGGAGATCGAACATGAATTAGAGATATGACTAAGTTGTATTATATAAATGAGGTGCAAACTTCATTGTATTATAGTGTCATTAATGAGCCTTCATTGTATAGCTTGATTTAAACTTTTAGATTTAGTCATTGACAAAGCAAACTCTCACCATTCCGTTTTGTTTTTTCTGGTTTTTATCTCGACCAGAGTGTTATTCAGGTTAAGATCAACTTGTAGTAGTACATGAATTACTATTGCTGCCATTGTGTTTGGATTTATGTTTCTATTGTGATGATAATCTTTATTCATTAGGTGGTTTCCCTTATTGTGAGGATAGTCTTTAGATCTTAGGATTATTGTTTGTCCTTAGATGCACTCGTTTTATTTCTTTTGGTTGTTGGACTATTATTTCTCCTTTCTTGTAATCATTCCCTCTATTACTTACATTCATTGCATCTTTTTTACTTATTTTTGTAATGACTTTAAGTTGAAATATATAGGTTGATTTGGAACATAATCAATATCGGTCTTTCCAAGGTTTGACTTGCCTGATGCAAATCTCAACACGGACTGAAGATTTTGTTGTTGACACATTGAAACTTCGCATTCATATAGGACCCTATCTTCGAGATGTCTTCAAGGACCCTGCCAAGAGGAAGGTAAGCACATGATTTTTTTTTATTTTGATTTAAAAATTTTGTGGCATTCTGTTGACACTATTTATGGTTAATTAGGTCATGCATGGTGCGGATCGTGATATTGTATGGCTTCAACGAGACTTTGGAATTTACGTTTGTAATTTGTTTGACACTCACCAGGTTTGTTTAAATGCTATGACTATTCATTGAAACTATTTCCCTTATAACTTATTGAGATGCCAAACATCACTATCAGGTATTTGGTCTGTAATTGGTTGATACTGGCACTGCATGTGGAATCTAAGTGTTCTGGTGTTCTTCTATTCATAATGTTTTTGTTCAAGAATATTTAGCACTAATCTATTTTGATTGCACTGCTTAGGCTTCGAAGTTGTTAAGCTTGGAGAGAAATAGTTTGGAGTATATTCTGCACCACTTTTGTGAAGTTACTGCAAACAAAGAGTATGTTGTCTTTGTAGTTTTTTGCTAAAATTTTTTAATCAACCCGTTAAGGCCAGGTGCTTTACTTTTGCATCTGGGCTTGATTTTCCATTTTCTTCCTTGCATTAATTGTGGAAGGTTTACATTAACAACTCATTGCAGTTACCAGAATGCAGACTGGAGACTACGTCCACTTCCTGATGAGATGCTTAGGTATATATTTTTAACTTGTCATGTCTTGAATTCTTTTTGCACTGCTGGTTATTTTCTTGAGTTCCAAAATCATACTGGGAGTAATTAATGGGTAACACTAATAATCTATAGTATTTGGTAATCCTAGGTCAGTTTTTTTGCCATTTCACTCGTATTTGGGTGGGGTTTACTTGCAACTTTCCTGATAGTACAACAATAACAGCATTATCCTACAGGGTGTGGTCGAATACATGAATCATACATTGTCATTTGGCTCAGCTAGAAGCCAAAGTCTCTTGGATATCATTAACCATCTAGACTGCATTTGTTAATTTTTTTCAATATTTTTCTTGGGCTCAATATTCCTTTTCAAAAGGCTAAGAACCATGCTATCTACCTATATCAGTGTCTTTACACACGTCTACATCACTTTAGCCCATTTTACGTCATGTCAGGTGTCATAGTAAGATCTGTTTGTATTCATATTTTGTCATATCCTTTGTGTGTCTAAACATTTATCACAACATACTCATTTTTGCTACACACTTTTTCTTGTTTTTGTTTTGTTAAAGCTCAACATTCTCTACCAGAGTACATGTAGTTGTATTCCTTTTGTGCTTGGTAGGTAATTTATAGTCTCTATTTTCTCCTCACAATGTCTTTCTGCATTTAACGACCCAGCTTGTATTTTGTGAATGACAATTTCTTTAATTTTTTTGTCATATTGATCTGAGATACTTAGTCTTGAAACATAGCTGTATGAAATTTTTTGCCTCCAAAGTTGTTTTCTTGTTTCTTGCTTAAATTGCAAGGCATAATTCTTTTGTTCTTACGCAAGCAAAACTTTTATAATTCCATTAGTTAAGGTTTAGAGTTACCCCTTCCTTGATTCCTTCATCAAATGATTTGTAAAAAAGCCTTGTATGCAGGATAATCTTTTGTATGTCCTTGGCAAACACACCCAAGACTAAGTTGGTTCTAATGTAAATCTATTCCTACAAGTAAATCTTTACTCTCACCTCTAGGAGTTTTTACCATAGTAGTTAACCCACTGTATATTTCTAGTATAGTCCGGATATAAGTCACTCAAACACAAATCTTGCGTATAGTTCCTCCTCCCCTCCCAAATAAAGAAAATAGTTTCCTCGTTTATCTTGGTTTCAGATTGATGATTACCTGTATAATGTAATGGGCGATCTAATTGCTACAACCTAATTAACTGTTTTCTGATGACAGATATGCCAGAGAAGATACACACTATCTCTTATATGTATATGATTTAATGAGGATTAATTTATTTGCTTTGTCTAAGGATTTTGAAAGTTCCGAATCTTCAGACACTCCTCTGGTGGAGGTAACTATCTTCTACACTGAAGAAATGTTTTTCTGTGGATTCTACAACATTAAAATTTTAGATGAATTTGATTTTGTTAAATATCTTGCATGCTTTATTGAGTGTTGAAATTTGTTTTGGGGTTGAAATTTACTGGTGTTCTTATTAACAAGTTTACTACAAGGTTTAATAATCTATGATTGCTTCAAGTTGTGCATTAAAACTATTGCCAATTTAGCACAGCAGAAGTTGACATTACTGTTTCAATTCTTCCTAATTTTTTCTTCATGCATGTGCTGTGGTATATGCATGTTTGGAGAAAGTTTTACCTACAGAAATAATAGTTTTTGTTTTCTTGGTTCAAAATCTACCTTAGAAAATTGACATTTTTACCCTCCTTAAATAAGCTAGTTATTAGTGTTATTGAATAATGGCCACAGCGGTGTCATGGCAGAAATCTGAAGCAGAAATTTTCGCTGGCCACCATGGCCGCGATGACAAATTGGGTTGTGCAGGTGGCCCATAGTGGCTGCTTTAGCTGTTGTGGATTGGCGCTGTGGAGCTGCCATGGCAAAAATCTTGCTCTTGCAGCCACACAACTTGTGTGCAGAGGTAGAAGATGCGTCAGGTTTGTATGACCCGACCAGACCCAGGAATAACCTAGGGTTTCTACTTTTAATCTGATGCTTTTGTTGTTTGAGTTGTTTGGTTGGGTTTATAAGAGACCCAACCCACTGGCAGCCAAAGAATATTGAAAAATGTTAAGTTGTACAGCCCAACCTAAACCTAACAGCTTGGAAAAAAATAAAAGATTATCTATTTTATACTAGACCCGCCCAGCACTTCTCCCTTCTCCTTCACCACAAACCTTAGTCACATTGACTGCCATCTTTCCCACTGCTGCAGTTGCTGCCATGAGAGCTGTCACTGCTGCTGTTGCAATTGCTGCCGCCGCTACTACTTTCTCTGCCACCCTGCCTCCTCTCCATGTTTAATTTGTAATTTTTTTTCTCGTTTTTTTTTCTTTTCTTTCTATGTTTAACCCCATTTTCTTTTCAATTCTTCCTCATTCATCAGCATGTGAATGAACCATTTTTTTTTTCCTTTCCTTTCATTCTTTTTTCTTTTCATTCTTAGTTCATTTAGCCTCATTTTTCTTTTATTCTCTTTCCTCTTCTATCCAGCCACAACCAACCTTCCCAAATTTTTTTGTAATTTATATATCTAAAAAAGTTAATCTATTTTCCAGCAACTCCAATGACAACTGAATACAGTTTAGAACATTATTTTGATGATGTTTTGCTTTGATTTAATTGTTATTTAAAATTCTGGATTTTTATTATTTTTTTGCATTTCAATTATATTCATACATTTTATTAATGTATTTATATTGTGTTTTTTTGTTTGCAATACTTATGCCATAAGTTGTTATGGCATTTGATATATTTTCATAAAGTATTTTTGGGTTGTCGATGTTAAAAGTCCTACATCACCTACCTCATGTCATTTGGTATGGTTTAAATACATGTTAGGTTACTCCACATATTGCCAATTGGTTTTATGTTGGAACCTTAACATGGTATCAGAGTCAAAGCCTAACATCTTTTCGGTTATTGTCATGGGCCAAAAGTTGCCCTTTAGTTGGGTCAAAAGTACCCTTTGCCTGGTCCGACAGGCTTTGTTGGAGGGTGTGTGTTGAAAGTCCCACATCGTCTACCTCATGTCATTTGGTATGGTTTAAATACATGTTAGGTTACTCTACATATTGCTAATTGGTTTTATGTTGGAACCTTAACAGTCGATATTTTTATTTGATATCAATATCACTATAATCCATACAACAAGACTATTTGTAGTTTTAGTTGCTTCAATCTTCTGGATTTTGTTGGTGCCTACCTGATATCAAACTCACCATAGGGTGCTCTTTTGTAGCCTTAATCTTTGATAGAATAATTATTGTACTAGTTAACTTGTTCAAATGGGTCAACATTCCCCCTCAAGCTGGAGCATACAAATTGTATGTACCAAGCTTGAAACAAATGAATTGAATCCTAGGTTCTCTTAAGGATTTAGTTAAAATATCTGTCAGTTGCTCATCGGAGCTTACAAATTCAGTTACAAGTTCCTTACACAACAACTTCTCTCTAACAAAATGACAATCAATCTCAATATGTTTTGTTCTTTCGTGAAAGACTGGGTTGGAGGCAATGTGGAGAGTTGCCTGATTATCACACAATAACTTCATTTGCTCAATATCACAAAATTTTAAATCTTGAAGGAGTTGTTTGATCCACACAAGGTCACATGTAGCAAGGGTCATAGATCTATACTCAGCTTCAACAACACTAGATCGAGCAACAACACTTTGCTTTTTACTCTTCCAAGAAATCAAATTTCCTCCAATAAAGATACAATACTAGTAGTCGATCTTCTATCAATTGGACAACCAGCCCGATCTACATAATAACCAAAAATTTGAGTAATACCTTTATCTTCATATAACAATCCTTTTCCTATGGCCCCTTTAATATATCTCAGAATGCGAATCAAGACATCATAGTGATCAACACAAGGATTTTGCATGAATTGGCTAATTACTCGAACTGCATAAGAAAGATCCGGTCTGATAATAGTAAGATAAATGAGTTTGCCAACCAACCTCATATCTTTTTGGATTTGACAACTTTTCTCCTTCATCCTTCATCAATTTCTGGTTAGGGTCCATTGGGGTATCAATGAACTTACAATTTGTTAGACCAGTCTCCTTCAGAATATCAAGAGCATACTTCCTTTGAGAGATTATCACACCTTCCTTTGACTGGGCCACTTCAATACCAAGAAAATATTTCAATTGACCAAGATTTTTGGGTTGGAAGTGAACAAACAAATGATTCTTGAGTTGATTGATCTTAGTATATTCATTGTCTGAAATAACAATATCATCAACATAAATAATAAGATACACACACTTGCCTGAAGAGGAATGACAATAAAATACTAAGTGGTATGCTTCACTCCTTTTCATGCCAAACAATTGCACATGATTGAATTTTCCAAACCAAGCTTGGGGTGACTGTTTCAAGCCATAAAGAGATCGGTGTAATTTGCACATAAACTAAACTCCCCCTGACCAACAAAGTTAGGAGGTTGTTCCATATAAATCTCTTCCTCAAGGTCACCATGAAGAAAGGTATTTTTAATGTCCAGATGGTGAAGGGAACAATGACGAATCGTAGCCATAGCAAGGAAAATACGAATAGTGGAAATCTTAGTTACTGGAGAGAAGGTATCACAGTAGTCGAGGCTATAAATTTGAGTGTAGCATTTAATTACTAAACGAGCTTTAAGACGATCTCCTTTACCATTATTATCAACTGTAACCGCATAGATCCACCTACAACTCACAACCTTTTTGCTAGGAGGATGAGGAACAAGCTCCCAAGTGTCATTGTGCTTAAGTGCCTATATTTTATCAATCATGACTTGTTGTCATCCAGGGTGATCAAGTGCAACACTATTATGAATAGACATATAAGCCAAAGAGACAACAAAAGAAGAATATAAATGAGACATTTTGAAAGAGACAAACGATGGTAACTTAAAAAATTATACATGTGGAACGAGTACCTTTTCTAAGTGCAATAGGCCAGCCAGAATGTAGTTGCTTGATGTAGTGCCAAGTTGAGTATAGAGCAATGACATCTCTTGTATGAATAAAGCAATTCCCTCAAAGCTAACGTTCTACAAGATTAAGCAAATGAGAATATACTGTGATAATTAGGTAGCTATTCACCTCAAATCCTTGGTTTCATGAGTAAAATAAACACAATTGACCATTTTGTTGAAGAGAAATTATTGAACAAGGAAATATGTACAATATTTGTTAGTTCCAATGATCAACTTGCTAATATTTTAACAAAATCTTTAAGAGGACATCAAATTCATTTACATGTTTCAAGTTGTGTACACACAATTTGTATGATCCCTCTTTTGTGGGGAGTATTAAAATAGCTTTTAGGACCTTAGAGTAGTCTTTACCTTTTAGTATAAATATATGAATGAGCTAAGAGGTTCAATGTATCTTTGAAGCTATTTATCTCATTTTTCGTCTTAAGTATCTCAATTATTTGAACTTTTACGTGTTCCAATAATGCCAATGTTGATAGACCTGTTGACCTTTCCTTTCTGTACAGAAAGGTTTTTGGGCAATATTTTGATTCTAAATCTTCAAATTGAGATAAAACGTGAATGAATTGTTGGGTCAATGAATTTTCTTTTCTGGCTTTTGACTGGAATTTCACTTGAACCAACAGGTATACAAGCGCAGTTATGATGTCTGCATGCAGCTATATGAAAAAGAACTTCTGACAGAGAGCTCCTATCTTCATATATATGGGTTCGTTATATTCAGAACAACTGTTCTTTCATGAATTGTGTTGTCTACAAGTAGCAATTGTTTACCAATATCTCTTTCATATCTTGATTACATCTGTGACTCTTATATAAAGGGAGTATCTCTTAAAATCTGTTTTGCATGTAATGCATGCCAAGAAGTGTAAAGTGAAGCTTAGTTACTGTTTCTGTATAGGTTGCAAGGAGCTGGTTTCAATGCTCAACAGCTTGCCATTGTTTGTGTAAGTTGCTATTATTTAAAATTATTTGCAGCACCAATTTTGAATTGCGTAACACTTACATTGGAAATGAAAGCTTGGCACCAATCTTTTTTTAATTAAATTTTGGCATGTGATTTTTTTAAAATTTTGTGATGAACTTTGTTGTCTTAACCTGGAAATCATGATTTTCTCATAAATATCAATTTAACATAAATTTGGGGAACTTATTCCCTGGATTTTAAATCAACCTTTTTACTAATTCTCTTTATCATAACGTCAGTAGGCAACTCTAGAATAGTTATATATCTTACTGTTTCATGCTGGTTTCTACCATGAAACAGTTTGGGTTGGACACCAAGAAACACTGATAGCCTTCCAAGCATGATTGTAGTATCTCTGTTGAAGATTTTAACATTTTTCAGAAAAATCCAAAATAGCTTCAGTGCGGAAAGGGCCTGATATAATGTCAAGAATTCGTGATAGAAGAATGTCCTACTCTCAAAATTTCTAGAATGTGAAATGTTAAAAATTGCTTAATTTGCATTCATTTTGAATTTCATTGCTCTCTTTATGCACCATCTATTTAACATTTTATACTCTGTTTTCCTGGCTTGCAGGGCCTGTGTGAATGGAGGGACATTGTTGCCCGTGCAGAGGATGAGAGTACTGGATATGTATTGCCAAATAAATCTGTTCTTGAAATTGGTATTAAACATAATTCTGGTTATTTTAATGTTAATTATTTGGCTTTATGATCATAATTTAATGTGTATTTACTTATTTAAAAGCTAAACTGATGCCTCTCACTACAAGCAAACTACGGCGACTGGTGAAGTCAAAACACCCTTATGTTGAACACAATCTTGATACAGTTGTCAACATCATAAGACATTCTATACAGAATGCTGCTGCATTTGAGGAAGCTGCTCAACAGTTGAAAGAAGCACAAGCTGCCTCTGTAAGTTAAATATTTCCGATGATCATTTCAGAGACGTTGGTCTTTGTTTTATAACTGTAGTTCATTATCCACATAATTTGCCACCAGTGATGATGTGGATGATCAATTGAGTATTGTGAAGGTAACACATTATTATTGTGGGAGCTTCCTATTTGTTGTTTGTGCAACTTAGTAATGCATTTCCAACATGGTAATATTATGATTCAGAATTGCCATGATTCATAGTATGGATATAAGGAGGAGTTAATGGGACAAATACTTAGATATAAATAGGGGAAGAAGAATAGGAGAGATTGAGATCTTGTTATTGTAAATTGAGCATTGGTTATGTGAAGTAGAAATCTTTTGTGAAGGGGAAACCCTAGGAGGAGGGAGTGCTCTCCGATATTTTGTTCTTTTCCTATTCAATAAAATTTGTTTTCTTCTAAATTCTTTGTTTCTAACAAATTGGTCCATCCCACCGAATCACCAATTATGTGGAGAATTGGGTAGGAGAGCATTGGAAAAAGCTGTCTCTGAGCAAGGTTTGTTGATGCATATATAAAACAAGAAACCATCATTTGTTAAGGTAGACAATTTAGGAAATTATGTGGAATGGTTTAAATAAATACCTGTTAGGCTACTTCACATTTTGTCAATTGATTTTATGTTAGAACCTTACTATGGTATTAGAGTCAAAATTTGGTTATTGTTTTGGGTTAAAAGTTGTCCTTTTTGTTATGGGTCAAAAAGTACTCTTTGTTGTTGTCTTGGGCCAAAAGTTGTTTTTAAAATACTTTTTGCTTGGTCTGACAAGTTTCGTTGGAGGGGTGTGTTGGAAGTCCCACATTGCTTGCCTTGTGTCATGTGGTATGGTTTAAATACCTTTTAGACTACTTTACCTTAACAGAAATAAAGGTGATAAATCAACATACAAGGGGGAGAACAGTGGGTCCAAGGAAGAACATGACTTTCTTCCTTCTTGGGTTAAGAAAGTTGAATTTCAGATTTTTGAAGGTCCAATAATGAAGAATCACTCCCTTGTGGTGGAAAATACTAAAAATGGTTAAGAAAATTTGTTGGAGATATAAAGATTGAATTAATCATGATGGAAGAAGTTAATATTTCCATGACGAAGGAAAAACATAGTGAAAATGAAGTTTTCTTGTGGATGTGGATTGTGAACAATGTGCGATGTTGATAAAGGTCCAATTAGTGAATTGCATGGAAGGTAATATGGTGAACCATAGGTTGGTTTTAATGATAGTTTAAGTGAAACTCAAGGATGCTTGCTATTGGACATGTATCTGTTAAGGTTCCAACATAAAACTAATTGGTAATATGTGGAGTAGGCTAACATGTATTTAAACCATACCAAATGACATGAGACAAGCGATGTGAGACTTCCAACACGCCCCTCCAACGAAGCCTGCCAGACCAGGCAAAGAGTACTTTTGACCCACAACGAAAGAGCAACTCTTGGCCCAAGACAATAATTGGAAAGATGTTAAGCTTTGTCTCTGATACCATGTTAAGAGAGTAAAGAGAGTTAAAAGAGGATTTATAATTCAGTGGGATGCCTCACTCCACTCTATGATCTCATATATATAGGATTACAACATTTAAAACAACAACTACTAATTACTAACCACTAACAAATAATAATTCTAGCACTCTCCCTCAAGCTGGAGCATACAAATTGTATGTGTCAAGCTTGTAACAAATAAATTCAATTCAAGGTCCTCTTAAAGACTTTGTCAACATATTTGCAAGTTGATCATTGGACCTGACAATTTCTTTAGATAACAATTTTTCACGAATAAAATGATAATCAAGTTCTATATGTTTGGTCCGTTCATGGAACACCAGATTAGAGGCGATGTGGAGAGCTGCTTGATTATCACAATACATCTTCATCTGTTGGATCTCACAAAATTTGAGTTCTTGAAGGAATTGTTTCATCCACACTAGTTCACAAGTGAGAGATGCCATTACTCTATATTCAGCTTTAGCACTAGACCGGGTCACAACATTTTGTTTCTTGCTTTTCCAAGAAATAATATTGCCTCCAATAAGAACACAATATCCTATAGTGGAGCGTCTGTCCATAGGGGATCTAACCCAATCAGCATCACAATACCTAGATATTTGGGTACCCCCTTTATCTTCATACAATAGACCTTGTCCTGGAACCTTTATTGATATTTTAGGATGTGAACGACAACATTCCAATGATCAGTACGTGGATTTTGCATAAACTGAATGACAACTCCAACGACAATTCCCAACAAGTCTTCTATATCTCTCAGGATCAGAGAGCGGTTCACCCTGATCCACCATTAATTTCTGATTTGGTTCCATAGGAGTGTCTACTGGTCTACAATCAATCATGCTTGTTTCTTTCAGGATATCTAAAGCATATTTTATTTGGGAGACTATGATCCTTCTTTTGATTGAGCCACTTCAATCCCTATAAAGTATTTGAGACAACCAAGATCCTTAGTTTGGAAGTGATTGCATAAATGTTTATTTAGCAGTGAAATTTTATCAACATCATCCTCTGTAATGATTATATCATCCACATATACAATTAAATAAACACATTTTCCTGAAGCAGTATAATAATAAACAGAATGACCTGCTTCACTTCGTTTGAGTCCAAGACTTTGAACAATGTGACTAAATTTTCCAAACCAAGCATGTGGAGATTGTTTGAGACCATAGAGAGAACGATGTAACTTTCAAACCAGACTAGACTCCCCCTGAGCAACAAAACTAGGAGGTTGCTCAATTTAAATTTTCGCCTCAAGATCACCAAGTAAGAAAACATTCTTGATATTTAACTGATGAAGAGGTTAATGATGGATAGCTGCTATAGCAAAGAAAAGTCGAAAAGTAGTCATTTTGGCCACAAGAGAAAAAATATCACTGTAGTCAAGGTCATAGATCTGAGTGTAGCCTTTTGCTACTAATCTAATTTTGAGTCGATCAACTTTACCTTTTGCTCCAACTTTAATAACATAGACTCAACGACAACCAACAGTCTTCTTTCCAGGTGGAAGAGGAACTAAGTTCCATGTACCATTCTGCTCAAGAGCCTACATTTCATCAATCATGGCTTGTCGCCATTTAGGATGATCAAGTGTCTCTTTCATATTTTTAGGAATAGTAATAGTGGAAAGAAATGACTTAATTGATTTACGAAGAGATGTGAAATTTGAATTTGAAATTCAAATTCCCTAAGAATGAGGCATGAAATATGGATATCATAGATCCATGATGATCAGGGCATGTGTTTCATTAGTTCCACATTTAACACATAAATGTGATAAATGTGCTCTGATGTAAGGCGTGGCCTTGAGTCTTCTAAGCTAGCATGGATGTGAGTTCCCTGCAATATGGGCTCAAGGTAAGGCCCAATTCAAGCTAAGATGTGGCTAGTAAGTAAGAAACCCAACAATGTATTATCTCATTTGTACAAGCCCAAACCACAAAAGGAAATTACTCCAAAGAAATTCAAAATAAAGAAAATAACTGTTGACCAAGGACCTGACATTGGGACATGCTCCTTGTTACTCTTCTTGAAATCATGGGTCCTTGGTCACTTGTGTCTAACCCCTTCATGTATTATTTGGATATGAAGATTCAATCATCATGGTGGGTGGAGCATCAATGGTGTTGGAATTTTTGGAAAGAAAATTTATTGGGTAATCCTTTGTCATTAATATTTGTTGCATCTATGACTGGCAAATTGGCAATGGAGCCAAGACAGATCAGACACAATGTTGGTGATTATTGTTAATACAAACTTCATCCTAGTCCCCACCACCACCCAAGCTGTCGGATCTGAACTTGACTGCAGTGGCTACTGGGTTCTCACAGCACTTTCAGGAAGGACGGATGAAAGATCATGGTAATGATGATGAACTTGGAATTCATTTTCCGTTATTCCAACCTTGAGAACAAGGTTCACTTTTAGGAGGGTGTATTGTTAGGATATAAGGAGTTTATTAAGATATTTAGAATATTAATGGGTTTAATTGTTGGTTACAGGGGGTTAGTTAGAGGTTAGTTAGATATAAGTAGGGGAAAAAGGATAGGAGAGATTGAAATTTGTTATTGTAAATTGCGCATTAATTCTATGAAAGGAGAAATCCTTTTTGAAGGGGGAACCTTGGAGGAGAGATGCTTTCTTATTTCTTGTCCATTTTATCCTATTCAACTCTTGGTTAGTATCTTCATAAGTTTACAATGATCAATTGAAATTACTTTTATATTAAAAGTGACATTTATTTTGTTACAATTCAATTATTATAAATTGGTCATTTCAAGTTTGTTCAGTATATAACATTAATATAGATGTAAAGTATTTTTGAATATATAAATTTGAAATTGTCACTAATTAACTGGGATTATGGTAAATGGCTCCATTGTGTTTTTGGATCCTTTATGAATGCCAGCTGAGTCAATTTCAAAACCGATAGAATTAAGCAACCAACCTAACCTGATATGTCTGTATATTTACTTTGAGAATATTTTTAAGCACTAGTGCTTGTTCAACTAGTATAATGGGTGTGGTATTTGAATTTTATTCAGTCTTAATTTCTGATTTTTGTTTGTTGATTACATTGTATGATTGCTGTACAGGCATCAGATGTAGTACAAGTGACAAATGGAACTGAAGATCCTAAATCCCATAAGCAGGATTGTAAGGTTGGAAATGCGATTAAAGTGTTGAAATTGAATATACCAGTTAAATTAATATTAATATCCTTGAGAAATCACGAGTTACTCGTTTGACCCCAAATAGGAATCTTCTCAGCAGCAAGATACAAATGTACAAATAAAAGTCAAGTGCAGTGGTCTTACATCTGACCCACCGAAGGTCAGTCTTGTGACGCCCCAAATATTATGCTTCTTGTTATAATTTTAAATACATTTTTGAAAATGAAATAAATAGATAAGATTTCTACCGTTCTTTGATAACCCTCTCTTTAAAACCCAGTAATGGGCAACAAATTTTCCTTGTGAGCTCTTGTCATCTCTGCTATCGTTTTTCCTATTCAATGAATTCATTTTTATGAATTCAAAAGTACAAAATAATACATCAATCATTTCAGTTAAAGCATTTTAAAAATTTATATTTTAGAATAAAGTCACAAAGCTTAGGTTTCTTGCTGCTTACAGTTAACTCTCCTTACCTCAAATTAGCTTAAATTCAATAAAAAAGGATAGAAATTGACTCTTAAGTTAGGATCTTCCTTGAATGGAAGAGAGTTGCAGTGAGAAGAAAGAAATTGAGAATGGAAACAATAACACTTAAAACCTCTTTGATTTCTCTCTTGGGCCGAGGATGAAGAAGAAAATAAGAGAAGGAGAGGGCTTGTTCTCATAATTATAATAATACTTGGTTCACACATGTGCCAAATAGGTGTTGTAAATGAAGGAGGAAAAAAAACTGTCACTACTTCCCATTTGTTTCGTCATTGTTTATTTTTCTAAAATTTTAGCTAATAAATTCTTGTTAGCAGATTATTGAAATAAATAGCGGCAAAATTGGGAGGATTTTACTAACGGAACATGAATTTCGAAATACCCTTATATATTTAATTTGCTAATTTATGTTAAAATACAGTGTGTTACAGGTCTAACAGATTCAGAGCAGCAGCATAGGGGTGCAAATGTTAGTGCACTTACTACGGCAAAGGTTAAAAAATTTCTTTCTTTCAGTATTATTTATTCAAATGATTTATCCTCCTAGTGATGAAACATTGATCTGAATTATATTTGTTGATAGGGAAACGGAGCAACTGTTCAGGTGCTTATAAAGCCTGCTGGTGCTTTTGGGGCACTTTTGGGGAATTCAGCTTCAAAGAGGAAGCTTGGTCCTGAGGTAAGTTTTCGTCAATGAATGCTTAAATTACATGTGATGCAAACATGTAACTCCATGTTTGTTCTGTATTTTGATACCACATTTTGGGATTTCTTCTTAGGGCAAGGAAGATATCAAGTTAGAGCAGATCAGATCTTCCGTTAGTCTTCCGTTCCATACATTTTTGGGTAGCAGCGAGAAGTCAAAACCTACAGTAGAAACTCCTAGTGTAGCATTTGAACTGTCAGAGCCACCGAAACCTGTTTCTGATATAGTTTCTGCCTCTCCTCTAGATGAGATTATAATGCTAGAATCTGATATGGGTGGAGAGGATATGATGCAGAATAACCTAGGAAACTCCAATGTGCAAACGGAGAAAAATTCTGGTGTGTCCACTTCAGGAAAAGAGGACAAAGATGAGCCAGTGTCTCTCTCAGAATTATCATCAAATTTTAAAAAATGCTTTCATTCAAATGATCAAAATAATAAAACCAGACAGCCCAAGAAAAGTGACCGGTTCAGTGGCGTGGTGCAGCTGAAGCCATTTGATTATGAAGCTGCAAGGAAACATGCCAAGGTTGGAGAAGATACAAAGAAAGCATCTTCCCAGGATTGTGATGGTGAGGTAGATGACTCAGGTAGCAAGAAGCAACGTTCGATAATAGGACAGGAGCGGGGACAAGCTAGTGATTCGACTAAACAATTGCAACAAGGGAAGAGACGTCAGGCATTTCCTGCTTCTGGGAATCGTAGTGCAACCTTCCGCTGAGAAATGAAAATTGTACATAATTAATGAGAAAGCCAGATGTTCAATATAGCATAGCTTTGAATCCTAGTTTGGCAAGATTTAGAAATTTATGAATTTAAGCTTACATTTTCTATTATACTTTTTACATGGTCATAGTAGCAACATTTTTTTCTAGATGATGACTAGTATAACAGGCGAAAAAGAGACCAGAAAAATCTGGCAGACATTGAATGCTAAATGTAATTAGAAAAATCTAAATCTATAAGGATACTTATACTTTAATATTGTGTGGAGTTTCCCAGTTGCATTCAAAACTAGAGGATAAAGTTGAATCGAAGTTCTGGTGTTTTTGTTAGGAAACAATTGAATGTAGTTAGGATTTTAGTATATTAGTTTTAATTTAGTATGGAATTGCATACGAGTTTTAATAATTTTTAAATTTAAATAAATTAAGTTAATATTTTTAAAAGAAATTTTAATAATAATGTTGGTCGATAGTAATGTATAAATAATATAAAAATAAGTTATTTTTAGAATTTTTGTATATTAAGATAAAATAATTTAAATTAAAAAAAGACTATTTATGATATGTATGCTTAAAGAATGTATTGTTGGCAGTGAAATAAACATCTTTATGATATATTTAAGTGCAAAATCTTATTTGATTTAAACTGTTTTGGTGATTTTTTTCCACTACTTGTCGTCCCTTCATTGCCTTTGGCAATCCATCCTCACCTTCGATGTAGTTTTTGAACTTTTCTCGTATGAATGTTAAATGTAACATATCTCCACCAACTTTTCATGTGCTTGCAACTTTGCATTCCACGTCACATAGTTCATATATATATATATATATATATATATATATATATATATATATATATATATAAACTGAAATTGACATTTGTCTTTGCTATTTGTCCAAGTGCTTCTCATATTAAAAACAATAATTACAACAATTTGTCACATCGACTTCTAATCATTTTCTAAATACAATAATGGATTAAATATAAAATAAATAATAAGGAAAAAATTGTTATTAAATTTTCTAATTTTATAGATGTGGGTGAGCATGGGTATATAACTATTTGGCCAAACCTTATTGATCATGTTATTTTTTAAATTATTCTTTCAACATTATATTTATAATTAAATATAAAACTTAAAAATAAACAAATAACCAAGATATACAACAATTCTTAATTTCTACTTTTAATTTTTTTTTCTAATTTATTGTTTTTATGCACTATTTGAATTAAAATAGAATTCATAATTTAATATATAATTTATTTTAAACGTACGTGTAAATTAAAAAGTAGTAAGAGATTAGCCACGAATTTATCAAAACCCAACAGATCCAAGCGAGATTGGATGAGTATAAAAATTTTACACTTCTCTCTTTTAAATTAAAAATTTAAACCTGTTACATTGAACCGATAAAAATAACCAAAAATAGAAAAAAAATTTGATAAAAAAATTCAAAATTATTAAACTTGATTTTTTTTTCTAATTTTTATCATAATTAAAAAAAAACATAATTTGGATTGGATTTTAAATTAAAAAGTCAAAATAAACCAAATGATTTAATATGTTTAAATATAATATTATATATTTATAATTAATTATTAATTAATAAATACGTATGATTATATATTTTAAAATATACTTATAATTATTAAAGATATGATGATAATTTTATATTGAAATTATAAATATGATAATTAAACCTAATTTGGTTTTATGAAAAAAAAGTTATAACACATTTATTAAAAATAATTAATTATTTTTAAAATAAAAATATATATTTTTAAAAATTATATTAATAAAATTAAATTTTATTTAAGATATAAGAATATAATATAAAAATTATAAAAAAAAGATCTATTTAATAAAAATAAAAATTAAAGACATTATCTTCTTTTTATAATAGTTTAATAATTTAAAATAGTAATTCATTTTAAACAAGATGTATCAAATTAATTTATAATATATATACCTTATTGATAAAATAATATTATTTTTATTTAAAAAATTATTATTTTATAAAATGTTGGACTAATAAACCACTGAATGTGACATAAGTTTGAAAGTGATGAAGATCTTATTGAAATACTCTGGCAAAGATCTTGTTGATTTGATGAAGTCAAGAATGAAGTCAAAGGCAACTTTGTGGCGATCAAAAGTCACTTAGATAAAAGAGTAGAGAGATTAGTGTGTCTGCAGCTCTGCTTAGGTATAATCATTTTTATCTTTTCTGCTGCATGAGATTTCTTCACTTAAAAGATTTTGCAAAATGCTTCTAAAAACATTTAAACAGTTAAAAACAAAGTCTTTTGATAAAAGCTTTTGAATTAACTATTTTTAACTAATAGCATATATGTTCTATCAACTAAAATGTTCTTCACATTTTTATAAACAAGTTTTTAACTGATATAATTTTGAAATAACCGATTGTTTTCATTAAAGAAATTTTTGAAAACCTTCTGTCAATATTTTAACTGATACAACTTCGAAATAATCGATTAAAATCACTTAAAATGTTTAGAGAAGTGTTTTGGCAGTATTTTAATCGATACAACTTCGTTTTAATCGATTAATTTCATTTGATATACTGTTTGACCGATCAAAATGCGATTATGACCGATCAGAATCAGATATGATCGATCAGAATTTAGTTATGACCGATCAAAATTATTTCAATCGATTAAATTACGTTTCAATCGATTAAATCAACTTAAGAAAATTTATACTACGCGTTTTAATCGATTAATACGATCTTTTATCAGTTAAAATCACTTGAAAAAGTTTATTAGAATATCTTGCAGTATTTTAATCGATTGAAAGACGAAACAATCGATTAAAAAAAATTAGAAGATTTTTTACAAAGAGTTTTAATTGATATAAACGTTGTCGTATCAGTTAAAACAAATATGGAAAATAATCAAGAACGTTTTAATGGATTAAAAGAAGTTTTAATAGATTAAAACAAGGCTTTTAATAGATTAAAAGATTATTTTAACAGATTAATTAAACCAGCAGTTTTGAAAATCTTCTATATAAACAGAGTTGCTTGAACCTTTTTAAAACACATCTTACATCATCTGAAATACATCTTTTGGCAAACAATCAAGCAATCTAAAGTGCTACTTTCAAGAAAGAATCACACTAGTTTTTGTGAAGTTCATCAAAGTTCTTTCTTGAGGCAAAATTGCATTCTTTTGAAGAAACACATATTGCAGAACTGCATAAAATTGGTTTGAGCGTTTTAGTTTCTTCTGTTTGTTTCTTTACATTCTTTTCTGTATTGTTGGTGCCTGGAATTGTGGGCACTGGTTTCTCTGCAGCTGGAATTTGGTTGTAGAGGTTGTCAAGAACTGGAATTTGGTTCTTGGTGAAAGGTTAGGTGCAGGAACTGAAATTGTGGTTCTTGTGGTAGATTGAGTGTAAGGTTAAGGTTGTAATCTGTAAAACATTCAATCTAGTGGAACCTAGCTAGAATTTGGCTGGAGACTGGACGTAGCCCTGGGATTGGGTGAACCAGTATAAACCTTGGTGATATCTTTCTAAACCTTTCTTTTCTTTAATTCTGTTGCTGCATTTATTTTTTGATTGCTTGCTGTGTGATTCAAGAACAGATCTGAAATCTTAATTTTTGAAATAGATAATCTGTTAATTGTGAAAATCTTTCAAAGATCAATTAACCCCCCTCTTGATCTCAGCCTCTTTTTCTAACAATTGGTATCAAGAGCAAGGTTCTTGAGAGTTATTCAAGTCTTTTCGATCCATGGCTGGAAATAAATTTTCTGAGGGTGCTTGTATTGATAGACCTCCACTGTTTTGTGGAGCAGATTATCCATTTTGGAAAATTAGGATGAAGATCTTTATTGAATCTGTTAGTATAAATGTTTGGAATAGCATTGAACAAGAAATTGATATTTTTAACAAAGATTGGTGTAGCTTAAATGACTGTGAAAAGAAATTAATCCAAGATGATTGTATTGCCAAAAATATCATCATATCTGCACTTAACAGAAACAATTTTTTTAGGATAGCACATTTTCAAACTGCTGCACAAATGTGGAAAACCCTTGAAATGGCCTATGAAGAAACTACAGAGACATGCTTAATGGTCAATTCGGATGCTCCAATAACTAGTGTAAGTTCTGACTTAACAACTACTCTGAACTATAGTTCTTTACAAGATGCCTTTCATGAAATGCATGCTGTAGCTAAAAGATTAGAAACTGAAAACAAAAGATTAAAAAGTATGAATAATCTATTAGAAAACAAGATCACGCTTCTTGAAAAGAAAATAGTTGATGAAGAAATCAAAAATGAAAATTTGGATATAAGTAATAACTTTGATTGCATGTGTAATGTTAAAGATTGTAAAAATTGTCCTGAGTTGCAAGAGAAAGTAACATATTTAATAAAGACTGCATCTAAACTAGCAAAAGGAAAGACTAGTCTTGATATGATACTTGACTCTCAAAAATTAGTTATTAACCGTGGTGGAATAGGTTTTACACCTCCCATTGGAAAGAAAACTAGAGTACTTAAAACTATTTTGCATATAGTAAATCTGTGTCATCTCCATTTGTTAAATGTTTTTACTGCATGAAGAAAGGTCATTCTGTGAATTATTGCAGAATTAAGAAATATGCTATTCCTAAAGGTAAAATGAAGTGGATACCTAAAAAGCCATTTCAAATAACATGATTGGACCCAGTAATTAAAAAGGGGTACCAGAAATTTGCCTAATCTGTTTTGCAGGAACAAAATCTGGAAGTCTCTTGGTATTCAAAACAGCAAATTTGGTTATGGATTCATGGACTGAGTATTTTAATTGATATAAAACTATTTGAATCAGTTAAAATCACTTACAGAGAATACCAGAAAAGCTGTCCGTACAGTTTTAATCGATTGAAATACGAATTAATCGATTAAAATGTTCTCTGGAATCCAGTTTAACTGTTTTAATCGATTAAAATGGATTTATATCAGTTAAAATCATTAACAGG